GGACCCGGACTCGTGATTTGATAGTCCCGGAGGGTCCGCAGGAAAATATGGGACTTGGGCGTATGCCTGGAATCGAATTCCGAGGTCCCGAGCCCGAGAAATGAATTTTTAAAGGAAATTATTTTCTGAAATTGTTTAAGGAAATTTGAAATGAAATTTGATTAGAACATGATGGAATCGGGCCCGTATTTTGGTTCCGGCGCCCGTACAGGTCTTATATGTGATTTAAGATGTTTCTGTGAAATTTGATGAAAAACGGATATCATTTGACGTGATTCGGACCTTAAATGCAAATTTGATGTTTTAAGAAGTTTGAAAGAATTCATGGATTTTGAGGTTTAATCCGATGTTTATGATGTTATTTTGGTGATTTGATCACGCGAATAAGTCCGTAGGATGTTTTTGGGGTAGTGTGTATACTTGGTTTGGAGCACCGAGGGCTCGGGTGAGTTTTGGATAGGCCACGGGGTGAAATTTTGGACTTAAGGAATTGCAGGCATGCAGACTTCGCATTTCCCAAATATTTTTCACAATTACCAGGCTTGTTCGCATTTCCCAAACTTTCTTCGCAATTCCCAGGTTCGCATTCCCCAAACATTTTTCGCAATTACTTCGCATTTCCCAAACTTTCTTCGCAATTCCCAGGTTCGCATTTCCCAAACATTATTCGCAATTCCCAGGCTTGTTCGGATTTCCCAAACTTTTTTCGCAATTCCCAGGTTCGCATTTCCCAAACTTTTTTCGCAATTCCCAAGCCAACAGAGGTTGGTTCGCAATTGCGAACCCCTGTTCGCAATTCCCACATCCGAGACCTGCAATTTTATACTTAGCCGATTTTAAACCTCATTTTTCATATTCTCTCAAACACAAACACACTTAGGCGATTTTTCAAGAATTCCTTCTTCTCCAAATCAATTGTAAGTCGTTTTTAACTAAATTTCTTCAATTCTTAGCATCTTTTAACATGATTTCAATATAAAATCAAGGATTTTCATGGGGAAAATTGGGTGTTTTGGGTAGAACCTAGGTTTTTTTAAAAAAATTGGGGATTTGAACCTCGATTTGAGGTCTGATTTCAAAACAAATAATATATTTGGGTTCGTGGGGGAATGGGTAATCGGGTTTTGGTTCGAACCTCGGGTTTTGACCATGTGGTCCCGGGGGCGATTTTTTGACTTTTTGGGTAAAATTTTGGAAAATTCATTTTCATGCATTCAAATTGATTCATTTAGCGTTTATTGATGTAATTAAGTAACTTGTGACTAGATACGAGCAAATTGGTGGTGGAATCAAGGGGTAAAGCTATAATTGAATCGTGAATTATGTTCGAGGCATCGAGGTAAGTGTTTGGTCTAACCTTAGCTTGAGGGATTAGGAGTTGAGTCATATTTGCTATGTGGTAATTGTTGAGTACGACGTATAGGCATGGTGACGAGTATCTATATGTTGGTGTCTAGCATGCCCGTGAGTCTTTATATTGTGATTATCATGATTTCGTTGTATCTTTCATGCCTTGGTGATGGTTTCTAATTGTTGTATAAAGTTTGTGGAAAGAATTGTGACCTATGAACATTGAGGAGCATTGGCTCAAGTTGTATAACGAATTGTGAAAGTATAAGTGATAATTGAACTTTTATAGCATTGGCTCGAGTTGTGAAATGAGTTGTGAAGGTATAAGAGATAATTGAACCTTTAGAGCATTGGCTCGAGTTGTGAAGTGAATTGTGAAGTAAAAGTGAGAAAGAGAAGAGATCATTATGTTGTCACCCTTGCCGGGCTATTATTGATTTATTTGTTATCTCCCTTGCCGGGATGTGGATGTTATTGATGTTGTTCCCTTGCAGGGATTTAATTGTTGACTTGTTGCTCCATTGCCGAGATTCTTATTGCAAATTTCCTTTATTTCCTTGCCCTATTGTTTGTAATTGTTGTTTGGGTGAGGAAGAGAGTTAAAGCACGAAGGGTGATTCCGTGCATTGTTTGTTTTGTGAGAAAAGAGTGTAAAGCACAAAGGGTGATGTCGTGCCGCACGATGTACCATTCCGTGCCTATTATATTGATTTCATAGTGAGGAAAGAGTGTAAAGCACGAAGGGTGATGTCGTGCCGCATGATGTACCATTCCGTGCCTATTGTATTGATTCTTATGGTGAGGACGAGAGTAAAAGCACGAAGGAAGGTGCCGTGCACTTGTCCTTGATTTCTCTAATTCTTGCTGATAATTGAGTTATGTTGTCCTTTACGTTTATTTACTGATTTTCTGTTGTTATTTGGTTTTATTTCAAGGTTATAGATTCCCTTACCCTATTTTCCTTGTGAATGTTGTTTGGGTGAGGAAGAGCGTAAAGCACGAAGGGTGATGTCGTGTATTGTTTTGGTGAGAGAGTGTTTAAACACAAAGGGTGATGCCGTGTATTGTTTTGGTGAGAGAGAGTAAAAGCACGAAGGGTGATGTCGTGCACTTGTCTTTGATTTCCTAATTTTTATTGATAACTGTGTTACGGTTTCTCTACACTAAATTGATGGTTTCCTGTTGATACTTGTTGTACCCCGCAGCATGATTTCCCTTTCTTATTTCCAATTGAACTGTGGTGATCCTCATATTTACTTGTTGCTCTTCTATTACTATTCTATTTTTCCCCGCATCCTGTTTTTCCCCCTCCCATACTTGACCATATGTGAATGTTTCTTTTTGTACTTCTTTTTTGCTGTATATAGTTAAATTGCACAGGTTTATTTGGTAGTCTGGTCCTAGCCTCGTCACTACTTCGCCGAGGTTAGGCTAGGCACTTACCAGCACATAGGGTCGGTTGTGCTGATACTACACTCTGCACTCCTTTGTGCAGACCCCAGTGTTGTAGACTTCGGACCGTACTGGGATTGCTGATTCTTGCTCATCAGGCGACCCGAGGCAGTCCTGCAGGCGTCTGCAGGCCTTGGCGTCTCCTTGTATCTACTATTCCTGTTTCTTTCATGCTTTTCCAGAGACAGTGTTGTATTTCTTTCTTTCAGACCTTTATTTCTAGTATTCTTAGACCGTCTGTGAAACTGTGACACCAGTTCTGGGTAGTCGAGACTCAAACAGTTGTATTGGATTCATGTTCAGCTAGCTTATTGCTTTTTCTTCCGCTTATGTTAAATTCCGATGCTTAAATGATATTACTTCACAATTGTTAATGAATATAAGATGGGTAAAAAGGTAAGTTGTTCACATAATTGGCTTGCCTAAGCTCACATTAGTAGGCGCCATCATCACTCCCGAGGGTGAAAAATCCGGGTCGTGACATGAATAAATTATCAATATTGATAAACTTCAGATTTACACTATGACGCGTGCAATTATCAATAAACTCCAAGTTTATTATGATATGAGTTTTATATCAATAAACATCCATTTTATTGTGGTATTCTTTTATTTGTGTAGTACAAACTGGAGAATAAAGCGGGTAGCTTTTCACATACATATTACCCCACTACAAGTTGTAGTAATAGAAGATATTAAATCTTTCCTTTATTTATAGTCTCAATATAATCAACCGCTTTCGCGTATACTTTGGAAACTTAATAAGTTTCTTTGAGACTTACTACAACACAATACCTTATTGGTAATCAATTGTGTTTCTCCAAAATAGTAATAATTGGCTCTTTCAGAGCTCTCAATTAATTTGGTACTAGCACATATTCATTAACATCCATATGGTGAATATCTCTTTTAAAGAGAAAGTTATACCATTATGGTTATGGTCAAAATTATATGCATCATATGTTTCTTGCATTACTGTTGTCTTTTAATAATCACAATGCCAAAATATTTTGGCATACAATAAGTACGTGACCAATGACCATTCATGCCATAATAATGACATTATTTTCTTATATCATCTCAAACCTCCTTCTAGAGATGAGTGCAGTATATTCACTACCACTAGCACGTTCATATTCTTCCAAGAATGAATATGTATTCATAAATAAGATGTCGTCACATTCACATCATGAATGGACCATAATCATCTATATGTGCTTTATAAAATCTCATGTCAAATCGATGACAAATATTATTTTCACAGAGTGAAGGATTATTTTGAGAATCCTTATTATCCTCATTATCACAATGATGACGATTATTATTTCGTATATTGCCACGTCCACATCCATTGATACCTTCACGGTAATAATTTTGTCTTCTTTCAGAATTATCACATATTGCTATCACATTCTCTTAAGGGAATGAGACTGAAGCAAATTCAATGGGACGGATTTTCACTTCTTGTGCTCACGATCATACATGACTTTGACCATGGCAAGACATAGAAATTTTACCACTTCGGGTGGTTATAATTTCTTACAAACTCCATTAGAGTTGTAATCAAAATTTATTGTCTTTGCTTGTATTTAAAATTAAATTACAGAACAAAAGAGAAAAATACGATAATATACATACCTTAAATCAAGAATTTAATCATGAAGAAAATTCATAGAACAATTGACAATCATTATGAACTATCCCAAAACTTCTACTCAATTGGTTAGAGTCTCGTGCTGATAACGTGTTATAAAACAATAAATGAAGAAAAAGAGTATTGTAGAGAAAAGTAGAGAGAGAATTCTTATTGATATGGAATGGATTACAATAGAATAGAACCCTCTATTTATAGGAAGAGGGTGACTTAGCCACCAAGTAATAAACTCTAGAATCTCTCTAGATATAGACATTCACCATAAATAAAATTCTATTTATAACATAGCATTTATTATACCTAAAGTTAACGTACTAGTATGAATAAACATAATTCTAGCTAATTGGCGTATCACAACTAAAACTAGCATGAAAAAAAGGAGACTCATTGCACCTCCACATTTACTTCTAAAAAAAACTAAACACATTGAATGTTGATGTATTCTAAAATTGAAATAATCACCCGCGACTTCAATTTAAAAGGATGATATTACTGTATTCGCAAAACATGAATATCCTTTCTCTCTTTTTGTACAACTAATTTGTGTTTTTGAGTTGGGAATTTTGTCAGTTGGGGACCTCAATTGGTTATGCTCTTCCACGTTTGACAGTACTGAATAGTAGCCAGTCTATCTCTTATGGTCATAATTCAGCCACAATCTTTTTTTATCATCCTTCCCTATTTCTTACTATCATATCTTTTCATTAGTATTTGACTGACATTTTGTTTCTCCCTCACAATACAAAAACTTATCCCCATTTTGTGTCCACAATGGCCAGGATTAGACTACTCTTTCTCCTCCATTACTTGCTCTTCATCGTACTTTCTTCAGCTGCCCTTTTACAAGGTCGTCTAGTAATTGCATACTCCTACATTTTGTTTTCTCATTCGAACACTTAGATATATTAATTCCACTGAATTTTTCGTTAATATGTTTTCATTTCCATTGCCACAGGGTCAAGAATTCAAGCCATAATTCCTCATTCTCAAAGGGCCTATCAAACATTTCACTATGAGGTAGGAAAAAGACATTCTTTTTTTTTTCTTTTCTTTTCCTCTGTTTTTTGCTAGTGTTTTTTTCTTCAATTGTGAATTCAATTGTATTGTTGGTGAAAAAGGGGAAAATAGGATCAGTGGCACCAACGTGCACTTACAATGAATGCAGAGGATGCAAGCACAAGTGTAGAGCAGAGCAAGTCCCAGTGGAAGGGAATGACCCAATGAATAGCCCTTATCATTACAAGTGTGTTTGTCACCGTTAATTCTGTTTTGTCAGAACATAGAGCCAGCAGCATTCCAAAAAGAAAGGGTACTTTGAAATTTTCATCAACTTACTGTTTTGTGGTCTTGTGAGAGTTTCAATGTTCTTTTTGAGGTTGGGTTGCTTGAATTTTGGTTTATATCGAGTCTTTTGTCTAATTATGGTTGGGTGAATGTTATTGTATCAAAGTTTTTTATTTGAATTATGCCTTTTTCTTCAAATGGAAAAATATTTTTGCATGTTAGTTTTCCACTTCTATATTTGTATGTATGTATTTGTTACTGCGCCAGTTGCAGAATGCAGAGATACCTTTGGGCTCAGAAAGGCTGAAGCAAATGATATACAAGTGCAGTATAAATATAAGTTGCGCTAGTATCAAAAATATCTTCCAAGTCCAAGTAATGAGCAATGATATATGATATTTCTCTCCTTTTCTTTCGTTTCTTTCTGCTAGGGTATTCATAAAAATCCGAAATTCGAACCAAACCGAAAACGAAACCATACCGACCAAAAAAATTAATACTTTTTCATTGGTTTGGTTTTGGTTTTGAAATTTAATAACCGATCAAATTTGGTTTGGTTTTGGTTTTTAATTAAAAAAACCGAACTACAACGAATATAGGAGTAGCTATTTTAAATTGGCCAAATATAGATAGCCCATTAAACTTGGCCCAATTTTACATTTTGGCACTTTAACTCAGCTTTGTTCCATTTTGGTCTTCCAACCCTATTTTTTTGTTCCACTTTGACACAAAAGCTGACTAGATTCCATGTGTGATTTGTCTCACCCTTGTAGGCGCGTGAGAGCCATTTTTAAGCCAAATTTCATACTCCCAACGTAGAGGCGGATCCAGAATTTAAATCTAATGGATTCAATTTTAAACATTGAACCCATTATATTTTTAAAGTCATGGGTTTATATCTATTTTTTTTTTACAATTTTAATGAATTTTTACATACAATTTTTACTCCGCGTCAAAAGTTATGGGTTCAGTTGAACCCGTAGTTATTACTGAAAATATATATAAAAAATATTTTTTCCCTGGGATGTGGGAAAAAAACGAAAAAAAAATAATAATTTGAAATTACAAAAATAAGCAAAAAAAAAAAGAAAAATTTTGCGGGAGGGGGAGGTTGTGGGCAGTGGGTGGGAGTGGGGGTAGCAACTGGGTATTTGCACGCGCTGTATTTTTATCTAGGAGAAAAATTTTTGTGTCAAAGTGGAACAAAAGAAATAGGGTTGGAGGGTCAAAATGGAACAAGGCTGAGTTAAAGTGCCAAAATGAAAAATTGGGCTAAGTTTAATGGTCTGTATAAGTATTTGGCCTTTTAAATTTATTATTACACCTATATATATGTATACTTTTATACAAAGTTTTAAAAGTTTTATAGTAAATATTAATCGTTTGCACTTTTAGTACATTTTGTTATCTTTACATTCTAGTTTAATTGGTAGTTTTCTTTTGTTAAGTGTAAGAATATATTTCATGCTAAAAATAATATATTTTTAATTGAGTCCTTAAATTATTCATCACTATTTGATTCAATTATCATCAATATCTTGGTAAATAATAGATTTCTTAAAGGGCAATTGATTTGATAGTGTTACGTTGAAAATGTGATCGCCGAAATGTGTGTTTGGTAGTGTATGTCTTATATTTAAGAAAAAATCGACAAATAACCGAAAACCGACATAAACCGAATCGAGAAAAAATCGACTTAATTGGTTTGGTTTGGTTCTAATATTTGAAAAATCAACTTACTTGATTTGATTTCTTTTTAAGGAAAAACAAATCCAAAGCGAACCATGAACACCCCTACTTTCTGCTATTGTTCCATATTTATTTAAAATTAAAAGAGACGAGGAAGACGCATATCTAATTGAGTCAAACTGTCGGAATATCTTGTATACGACAACTATGCCTCATTCTTAGACTTTATATTTTGAGAATTCAACATGAATTGGTTAATTTTATGCTGGCTGTAGCCTTGCAGTTCTCCTCCTTTATTCGGGGTTGAAACCAATAATATGAGCAAAACTCACACTGGCGGCAAAATCTGTTACTCTCTTCGTTTCAAATTAAATGAGATATTTTCCTTTTTAGTGTGTTCTAAAATAAATGACACATTTTAAAATTTAAAAATAATCAACTTTAAACTCTCCATTTTACCCATTTGACCATTAATGAGAGCTTTTATAACCATAAAATATCATGGCCCTACAAATCTTTTACCTCTTAAGTTTTTAAGACAAAAAATTTTAAAAAAAAACAAATAATAAAATCTTAAACTCTGCGACGAGACAAATTACCTCATCTAATTAAAATGGAGGGAGTAGAATATTTTATTTTTTGGGCATCGTAGAAAAGAAACAAGCAAGTAAAAGATAACAAAACTATTACATAAACCTTAAAAATAGCACGAGTGTGATGTACCAAGGGGTTTTTGGTTGTGTGTGTGTGGTGGGGGTGTGGGGGGGGGTAGGGGGAGGAGTAGGTACGTAGGTAG